GAACATGGATGTGTCTAATTTTAAATGTAGATTTTTTTGAAACAAAAAAATAGACAAAGCTCTGCATGAGGAGTCTTCAGGTCTGGTACTGGATCACTAGCAATGGATCTATTGTTGGACCATTATAAACAGTTTTTGAAGGACCCAATGCAGTTTTGATGAAGGCTTTGATACTTTAGGTAAAGTACTGTTGCAGCCTGAGAAGGAGGATTGGTCTACTTAATGTTAAGGACAAAGGCCCTGTGAATAATCAGSCAGGACGTGGATAACACTTGCAAGGTCTTGGTGAGTTCTTCATATTAGGAGTTCAGAGGGTGCAATAGGTCCATTGTAGGGGTTTACGTTGAGGTGGTTTATCACAATGAGGTGTTTAGTCTAGAGGTGCTAYCATGTGACTTTTCTTGGTCGGAGAGAGTGGCCATCTTGCTCAGGGCGAGGACAAGCGGAGCTGAATGTGGTACCTGTGACATGTTAAATTTAGATCAGCACATCAACAAAAWGCAGCTTGATWATGACTTGATAAAAATGCCTCTCARTTCATATTGTCTTATCAGGTAAAACCATGTTGCCAAGATACACATGTCTGCATTGARTGATGTTTCTAATAGGCAAAGGCTAACCAATGACAAAACTAATATTTACATGTAATTCTATGCAGTTATGAAAAAGTATATTTACATTGACARCCTCCTCCCTCCAATTGGTATCACACTCGTACCACAGTGGTCAAACTTCTGAAGCATGCTTGACCAGCCTAGCCAATGTTCCTCATCGGTTTATCATCCTTGTRGCAGCATAAGAAAACCAAGTGGTAGTGTGCTCATGACATGGGCCTCATATCCATTAGTGTGGCTTGGTAGTCAAGAAGTTGAAGCCAGACTAAATGATCTCCATAGCTGGATTATGACGTGGTCCAACAGAGTCATTCCAAGGCTGGAGCATAGAACGTGGTGAGGAAAAATAGCAGAAACCAAAACTGTTTTGGTTAGAACCAAGAGTGGGTTATGTCATGATGATTCCCGTATTTGTCACAATCCATTCCCATTCTAATGGATCATGTAGAYTGTGAAGAAAAGGGAGACGTCATCAACCTGAAGTGGCCAAAGAGAGATGAAAAAGTGCCATTAAAGTAACATTTATGGTCTCCTTTCACAACATTGCATAATTTAATAATAACGTTATTTACTATAACTGTAGGTGGTCTGTATGAATGTTTTACAGTTTAGTGAAGTGAAAAGGCAAACATTGAGTTAATTTATGGCGTTTCTTAAGAGAGCGAGCTAAGGTGCAAATTCTACTTTCATTTTTGTTCCAGACGTATACTTGCGTTGCAGTTAGATTCAACAATTTGGTGTTGTGTGTTGTGGTGGTCCAGAGGGGAATGTGTGTGTGTGTGTGTGTGTGTGTGTGTGTGGTTTTCCAAAAAACACTACCTTTTTATAAAGATACATTTTTCTTCTGGAGGCCAAAGATGAGAGTATACAGTAGGCATAGTATTTGAGTAGAACTCAGCTAGTACGTTGAGTGTTTGTCGTGCTGTGCTTCGTASGGAGGGAGGAGAGTTTAGACATGGAAAGAATAGACAGTGTAGAGTGAGCAATAGGGGAGGGGTCAGTTATAGTTGGGGGTGTGGTCTGGTAGGTGTATATAGAAAGATTACAGTTAATTTAATCAACTGGAATGTTTAGATTATTCRAAGGAATTCCTTCTAGTGACTGTTTACAMTTTACTGAGGTTAAGCTTAGTATTTTCTGGTTTAGATGTACATTTTGGAGATGTATGATAGTGTTGATCAGTAAGAAGTTAGTTTTAGGTAAGGGGTTAGGGTTAGGCACATATCTGTGTGGTTAGATGTAGGTAAGAGTTTAGGGTTAGGTATGTATCTGTGTGGTTCATTTTAGGTACATTTTTAGGGTTAGGCATGTATCTTTGTGGTTGGTATTATGTAAGGGAAATGAATGGTGGAGTCAGATGTTCCCTGGGAACCCTGAAGACTTCCTATTGACTTATGTGCTGTGTAAGATGTAGTGGAATATATCTAGTGTACTCCAGTGAGTGTAAGTGTACTGTTTCAGTAGAACTCAGCTTGTACATGGAGTGTTTGCCATGTGCTGCGCTTCCTAGAGATAGAGGAGTGTTTGAAGAAGAGGGGTCAGGAATGGTTGGGGATGCGGTCTGGTAGGTGTATATAAAATGTTTACAGTGGGGCTAATCTAATCAAAAAATGTTTGGATTATCTAGAAGAATTCCTTCTGGTGACTGGTTACAGATCACTGAGGTTAGAATTAACATTTCTTTCTGGTTTAGATGTAAATTTTGGCATTAGTATGGTGCTGGTTTGTCAGCTGGGGGACTGGTCTAAGTATGGTCATATTGTCCTACCTGTTGCTGGTGCAGTTTTACTCTGCATCCATTTTAGTTTGAACAAGAATAAAGGCAATTATTTTGTTTTTAAATTGTAATGTTCTTATTTACTTTAAGCAGTTTTTACAGCTATGGAACTGGTGTAGTGCACTTTTATCTTTGGATGTTTATTTGGATTTCTTTAAGGTTACTGTCTTTGGGAGGCCTATCTTTTTGCATAGTTAGTACAGGTACGGTAGAATTGCCTTTAGTACTAACTCATATTTAGTGCTAAAAAAGAATTTCAGGACTTAATCACCAGTGGTGTCCACTGGGTCCACGAGTGTTTCGGCCTGGTATCTGTTAGGAGTTAGGTTTAGGGTAAGGGTCAGAAATGAATGGATGTCAATGCAAAATCCTCACAGGGATAGGAGTACATGGCTGTGTGTGTGAGTATGAATCAAAAGGCAACATGCTACACTCTGTACCCCTAACTTTTTACTTCTTTGTACATTTTTATTTATTTTGCATTATTCTATGTTTCATTTACCTTGGAAATCAATTCTGGAAATGATGTATTTTGCAGAGAAATCGTCGGGACACCTGCAACTTTGACAAGGAGTTCACCAAGATGCCAACGGACCTGACGCCAACGGACAAGCTTGTCATCATGAACCTGGATCAGGATGAGTTCCTCGGCTTCTCCTACACCAACCCAGAATATGTGGCTCCTAATTAACATCATACAGGACTGAAACATAAAAGTAGACAGGTAGGACAATACAAAGCAGTAAAGGGAGGGAGGGGGATTTAAAAAAGCACAAAATTTGCAATTGTATTGTTTGGTGAATATTTGCTTTCCTTTTAAATCACACATTGGTTTGTTTTATTAATCCCAAGACTACAACAGCAAAAATGAAACGAGATGTTTCAGTTTTAATGAGAAATGTTCAAGTTGATGTAGGCTTTTTATTTCACTAGGCTGAAATTCTTGGGACAAATTGAAATATTTTTATTTAGAGTCACACAGGCTTGGTACGTGGGACACGTTTGCATGAACTCCTGTTAAAAAATTTGGCCAACTTTACTGATTTTGCATAACTAGCAACCAAGTTGCAAATTTTTGACTGTGCTACACAATCACACAAGGTTTTGAATGAGTCTTGCAATTCACAAAATTTCTTACACTCCAGAGTAGTTTGAAATCGGTTCCACGTTGCCTGCAACAACTTGTGAATATTTTGAGGTAAAAAAAAATAGTTTTGGAATTGTTCGAAAATGTTTAAAACTGAAGTTACACGAGAACAAGGCCCTGTGGCTCATCTGAGAAAACTTTTTGAGACCATTTGGAAACTCCTCATGAATGTTGTTTGCAATTTATCAACAGCAGTTGCAGCCCAGTGAGRTATTTAACTTGAGCTTGCTTGTGTAGAGCAACAGCTAGTTTGGTCTAACAGGAGGAGACTGTGGTAGATACTTAATAGAAACCAAAATGAGCTGACTGTATGGATCAATCGACTGTCAATGTTTCAAATATCAGTTTCACACAATGGCTGTAAGAAAAACAACTAAATTAGTTTGCTACTGTATTTGTGGCATTGATCTCTGCAACTGGTTTCGTCAGCTTTATTAAGTATTTTGAAGTGAAGTATTTTTGTGTCTTTTCATTTTCTGTACATTACTCTGACAGAATGGGGGGACTGCCTCTGTCTTCAGACTGTGATTGTTCTGACATTCAGGAGTTCGAAGCACAATATTTGAAATTAGCAGAATGCTTTTACAACACAACTTGTGTGCCATGACGTTACGGTAGCTATGTAAAGTTTTATATGTCTTTGTATAAATGTATAGATTTCATCCATGACTTCATTGGTTACAGTCATCTTCTGCAGCTATTATGTATAATCAGTTAGACTTTTTGTGTCTTGATCTGTTTCTCTACACAAACCTGTGCTGGCTGCGCTGTGGGATCGGTGCACGTTATACTGGAGGACAGCAGAGTGGGTTTTAAATGTATTATTAGTTTTGTTGGCTTCAATTCGTATTCTGCCAAGGCCTCAGTGGGAGCTTAGTGTGGTGTCACAGAGGACGCAATGCAGCAGTCGGCTGAGAAGYTCGCACACAGAACACACACGCAACGAGGAGATGCCCCGAGTGAGTCATTTCACAAACGGCAATAATGGCAGCCATGCTGCTAGTCTTCATTTTGAATTTATTTGTTTGTTTGTTTTGATGCACTTGCACATTTTGCTGAATTGACTGTATTTTAGGAAAATAAAAGGGTTGTGCAGCAAAAATAGATCTTGAAACACATGACAGATTAGGAACAAACATAAACATTCTGATTGATATGATAATCATATGTTTAAGATTTGATATAACACATTGTGATACACTATACCACCTTAAAGAATAATAATACAGTGATATTTTACTACCTACTTTTAAAAAAAATACCTTTCATAAACATTTTTTGAATTATTATTTTCTATAAAACCTGACTTGTTAAACTACACAACAAATGAGGCCTGGTACAAAGTTAATATAACTGCTAGGTGGTATGATATGACACAATATAATGTGATATGAYACATTAAAATACAATGACTCAGTACTATAAAACATGAGAACAACAATGGACTTCTATTTTTATTTTTCTCATGGGGAAATTTATTTTGCACTCAGTGCTGTCCATATGTAAAAGAAAAAGATTYATTAATAAATGCCATATAAAGCAAAGTGAGATGTAAGATATAAAACCAAATTATCTAAAAATACATATATGTACAAGGGAAATACATTTAAATAAGTTGTGTTCACACAGAGAGTCAGCAAGATCCTCTGATTCAGGGATGGGCAACTGGTGGTCCATGGCCCACATCGATTCCATGTGTGACTTTGGCCTGGCCCACCAATGACGCACCACCTTAATCTTTTTTTAGGTTGTAAAMGAGACATATAATGACAGTTTTATTACACTTGGGCAGTGCTATGTGGCCCTCTGGTAGTGTCAACAAAACAATGTGGTCCCTCTCATCATATAAGTTGCCTATTCCTGGTCTAACTCATGGCAAGAGTTTAAAAAAATAAGTAAAAAAAAAGACAGTAAAACTTTGACTTCTATTAGGTCTATTGTACAAACCATTTAGGGGTATTTTTTTACTCTGCAGTTTTGCTTTTTTTGTTTAGATATTGTAAATCAAACTGTCAGATTCTGTCACTGTGTCTTTCTCATACGTACAGCTGCATGTCTTGCAGCTAAAAGGTGTAAATATCTCCTGATCTCACGGTTCTCCTGTTAACAGCAGTAAACCCTGAATCAGTCACGTCCCATCCACAGCTGTCTGTGTGTTTGGATGACAGAGTCAATAAATGTCAGTTTCTGTGCAACTCAAACATTCTGTAATTCTGTCTTCATCTCTGACATAAAGTTGAAACTTTTTGATTTAAAAGAAAGTCTCTGTGCCACCAAACTAAACAAAACAAACTTTGTGCAGGAAATTGAAATAAAAACTGGTGCACATCTACAGAAACAAACTCCCGGACCCTTCAGGACCATCAGGAGTTAAACTATGCATGTGATAATCTTTCTCATTTCTTCTTCCATTTAATATGAATTTATTCTCTAAATGTTGGACTGGTGTGCAATAATTACTTACTTATGAATAGATATTTATGTTGCCTAATCTGTGATTATGATTTATTCTGCCACACGTATTGTTAATTTGTGCATATTAACTGCTTTTCACTGCATAGARGTAAGAGTCTTCCATTTCTGTAGTTGTTTAAATGCAGATAAACTGCTTTAAGGGTTTAAAATGTGTTTTTAGTTTTCATCCTCCATCCCTCTCTGAACTGACCTTTATTTGATTAATCTTCATTTTATTATTTTTTTCTCCTGACTTTTCTTCCTCAGACTCCTTGTTGTCTCTGCTCATGTTTGTTCTTTTTGACCTTTTATTCCTCTCTCTTTTTTTTCTTGATTACTGTTTACATTGACTCCTTCTGTTCTCTTCTCTGGTAATGACCTGATATTTCTTCTTCTTCTTCTTCCTCTCCATTCGTAAGCCTTTTCAGACTTCTTAATAATAAAAATTTAAATGTAAATTGACAGCTTCCACTTGAATTTAGCTCCAGCTTTGACTTTTAGACAGGCAAACTCAAATTTGGCACCTATAAGGATCATTTTCAGGGAAAATCCAAACCTGTATGAAGATAATGTGTTC